TTAAACAGACGAAGCAAGTACACATCCCACAGATTTATACACATCTAGATGTGTATAAGAGACAGCACACACACACACACACACACACACACACACACACACACACGCACACACACACACACAGAGTGGTTGTCCCTCGCTAAGCAGGTGTGCAGGGTGGGTTTAATGGTTGTGATGGGCTAGTTTCGGATCCTCAACTCAGCCCTTGCTAGAGTATTGAGGCTGCTTGGCTAGCCAACGGTTCGGAGACCAGTGCAGAACTGAGTTTGGCGGTTTAGCCGCCAATCCTGAGGGTAGCCCACATTGTCCAAGCATATATCCAGAAGAGGAGGCTGCCCATCACTGTACCTAGACTGAAAGTTGCCCCAAATACAGCTATAATGACAGTGCGATGTACGTTCTATTCAAGGGAAGATGTTAATCGCTTGCAGGTACGCTGGTGGAGGATGCAGCCTGAAGGAGCACCGACTTGCACCCAAGCTCCCGGTGAATCCACTGAAGGAGGGAGAGAGAAGCCATCATGGCTGGGGAGCTTCAATGCCAACATTGGAGGTAGATGGGCCCACTCCCGGGCATGTTCGGAGGAGCAGGAGAACGCGGAAGCTCGGTTCCACTCACCTGAATTTTCGGTTTCTAAGCATAGACTACAAGGGCCTCGACGCAGCACTCGCCAAATGCCAATATTCTCAATGCACCTGAACAGGGTATTGGTCCCGATAGATTCAGACGGTTGGCATTTGGCCGGTGGTGCAGCAAGGCCCAAGGATTGACGCCCAGAGAAGGGACCTCGCGCCCAGTGTGTGGGGATTCTGGACTATCTTTCACACGCCAGGCCCTGGAGGCGCTAACCTGAATTTATCATTACATTTTAATTATTAATTAGTTGAATAACAGTGATGCACAGGGGAAGAGCGTATGTAGGGAGGATAACTGTGCACGAAGGGTACCTGGGTAGGGAGGGTAACTTGGTAGGGCGGGTACTGCGTAGGGAGAGGGTAACTGCACATGAAGGGTAACTTGGTAGGGCGGGTAACTGCATAGGGAGGGTAACTGTGTAGGG